CCCAAGCAAATCAAAATGCTATTCTGAATATCAAACTTTTCATATAATACGGTGCAATCACCATTCTTTTCTCATCACTTCTTTTCTTAACATAGATTTCTTTACTACGCCATTTAAGGCAGATATACCTGTATAGACAGACCATATTTAGCGCATATTTTTCGATTTTGAAAATACAGTAAGTCTTCTCTTTTTACCATGAAATTGTAATCCTCAAGTCAAACAAGAGTTTCCGACCTCAGTGCACTATATTTATAAACTAAATTATTATCATATTCAACAGTATCCTTAGAGTGTAGGTTTTCATTGTCTGGAATGGCATGAAAACCGATGATGAGCTAAACTTATCCAATAGCATATATAACTCAACCGAAAATCTCCAATTAGAGTGAATGTGATCTTCTTAGCAACCATCCTTTTAAAAGTACACAAAATGGCAATACTATCACTATAAAACTACAACTTAATGGTTTATCTTTTCCTATACCCTTGTAGCTGCACAATTTAACAAAATCTTATGCAAAATAGGGAATTGCTAATTACACATTTTTTTTTAAATAAATATTAGATTTTTAAGAAACAAAATATCTGGCGTTATCTGAGTCAATAAATCCTCAAATTCAACATCTCATTAAAAAAATCTCCTGCGTCCAGAGTTAATAAATCCAAAAATCACACAAAATAAAATTCTTGTAAAGTAAAGTAAATATTCTGGAAATCAGAAGGAACGATCATGCAACTACCAAAGTCTGTAACTAGTAACATGCCTCCAATATTCAATATTCTTTCCCTTCTACACACAATATATCATGCTTCTACTAAATCCAATTCAATTTAAATGGTATGTTTTTCTTTTTTGGTTAATGCGGCTCTTCCGTTGTATGACATATATATTTAATATTAAACTTACCTTCTATTTACGCCAACAGGTGAAGCACTGCTATTGAGACTCTTAACGGGACTACTTGGTGGTGTTTGTTGTGTTGTATTGTTACTAGTGCCCTTCGATTCATCACCCATTGTATCATCTTCATCGTCACTGTGGTTATCATGTTCATCTTCGTCATCGCTGAGATTATGCCGTTGCTGGTGATTATGTCTAAGTGTGGTTATACTTCTTGCAGCAGGTTTGCGTGACCTTTTCGGTGTTTGGTCATCTTTGACTTTTTGCAAATGTGGAATTGGTTGGTGTTGTGGCGGTTGTGGTCTTATCGGAGGTGGCGTATCAACATCCATATCTTCCACATTGTGATTTTCTTCCATTTCGTCATCATCCTCGGTTTGGGAATTTACTGAGGCATTATGTCGCTAAAATTCAAAATAAATTACTTAGTCACAATTATGAAATAATACTAATATTTGCCAATACTTACTGCCTGCATTCTAGCCTTTTGTATAGCCTTACGCATTCGTGATATTTCCAAACGTATTTGCTTGATTTTCTTTGTGCGATACGTGGGATTTTTCAAAACCTGAGATTTATCTGCCAAAATTAGTAATTTTTGTACAATAGCCTCGCAAGGAGAGGCTGCCAACAATTCTTGTAATTCCTGTTCCACTTCTTGCTCTACATGATCTGTTGAGTCGACTTGACTAGTGTCCAGCAGACCTTCGCGAGCCAATACATCTCGTGCCTCTTGAAATAGCGGCGCCGCTTGGTCACGCATTCGTATACCAGCTCTATAGAAAACGGTGTCTTTATTGTTGTAGGCCAAGCAATTCTGAATCATTAGATCGAAATCACTCTGCAACTGATCCAAGCTGGTATACTGTCGATTGTCAAGTTTTGTCCTCATTGTACCCAAATCCATTGGCTGTTTGACTATGTCCAAATAGTCGGGAACTTCGGTTGTATCTACAGGTTCGCGGAATATTTCTGAAGTATCACGTGCTTCCAAAGCGTCTAATAGTTTTCTCAACACAGTCTCCAAGGGATCGAGTTGCATGTTTATTACTTGTTCACATATTTTAACGTATGCAGCCTTAAGCTTTTCCCGTTTTCGCACCAACTCACAAAGCAGGCGCGCTCTTTCAAGATCCTGGCGCAGACACTGCCAGTACTTGAGTTGACGATACAATTCCGATGTATCCGGGGAACCTTCAATGCCATTGCGTTGTATAACACCGTGATGATTACCTTGAGATTGCAGCCTCCTCAATAGTGGAACACCATTCCGGTATTTACGTTTCATGGTCCAATAGGCTACCAAACGATCGAGGAATTCTTTCTTTTTCTGCATGTGTACCATACTCGCAATTTCCTGTATACGATCGGGTGGTATCGTGGGTATCAGTACCACGGGAGCAGATGAGCGTTTTTTGGCCAATGCTTTTCGAGCCTCTTTCATTTTGTGGCGTGCATCTTCAAAGTCTTTAAGATTTAATTTGGTTTTTGCATTGTCTGGGGTATGCAAATGACAGAAGGCAAACTTTTGAACATGAGCCGAGGAGTCATTGTGACCGGAACTCTCATTGACATCCATGGTCATATAGAGACCAGCCTGTTGGGCACAAGTTACATGGAAGGCAGCATAGCAACTGTTGCGATGGCATTGAATGCAGGCGCCCAATCCCTTTTCCTTACAAACGTAGCATGTTAGGCGCCAACGTGCTGCAGGAATTGTTTCAATGGAATCTGGAAAAGTAAAAAAGAGAAAATTGATAATTAAAAAAATACTGATGAGTCAAACATGGACGAAAACTCTGTAATTTGCAATACTCTAGCATTAAGGATTTTCTATTTCTTATATCCTTTAATTAATTCGGAGAAAAACTAAGTGCAATACAATATATATCTAAACATTTGTCTCAAATTATTTTAAATTGAAAATCTTCTCCTTCGAGGCATTAAAAATATTTCCAGTACTAGTGTTTCTCCATTCGCACATAATTTATCTTGTTTTATTATACTTACCAATCGGTTCCAAAAACACAGTATTTGCAAATCGTACTTCAGGTATCCATAAAGCGCACACAACATGCGCCCATTGACCGCGATCGGTCTGCTTAAATGCTCCACCCGTGTTTGGGCACAATACACAATTAACCGGTGTACTGGGGGACTGTAAACAGCGACGACAAAGCCACTGGCCCTCTGGTATATAGGGGACACCATAGCAATCCTGATGCACGGCCAAATTACACATATCACAAAAGAGGATAACATTGGTATTTTGACATTCGCCATCCATGCAAATGCAACAGACGGCATCGTCGTCCACCTCATTACCAGTCGCCGTACCATTTGCGGCTGCCTGAAAATATGATTCTTTCTCTAGGCGGTCCATTAACAATTCCATTGTATCGATGTTAACAGGATTGTGGCCAGATTTTTCACGTTCCTCATTCATCCATTCCAGCCATGCAGAATCTTCTTCGTCAACATCATACTCTATTTCGCCGTCCAATTCTTCCACTGACTTTTCTATAAAGCGATAATATGCCAAACCTCGGGGCGGAGCATCTGGTACATTGTAATTGTCGATTTCTTGAAATCGTGCTTCCGGTACCTTCACCTTGGCCCATACCGCATTCTGTTCCAGTGGCGGAGCATCGGCATTCACTATACACCCCCGCTCAACTAGCTCCATATACTCGTCCTCTTCGATAAACGGCAGAGGATCGTTTGTACCCAAACGAACACTTTTACCCTCCACATTGAACGTCACCCTCTGTTCGTCGTCATTGTATGAAACCAAGGATTCGGGATTAATTGAATGTGCCGTGTTGGCATTTCCGCCGTTTTGCTCATCATCCGCTCCAGCAGCACCTGTTCCCCCAACACCACCGCCTTTTGGTGTCGAATGTGTTGCACCGCGCGAACGCGCCTTCTTTCGATTTGGCGTCACCACCGGTGTCAGTGGCTGTGGATTGTCGTGGTCATAGTTAACCAGATGGTACTGCAGACCTATCACTGTCTTGTAACTGCGACCACATTTGGGCACTGGACAAGCGTACGGTGGCTGCGAATGCTTCACACTCTTACAGTATTCCAACGCATCGAAGTCGAGTCCCATTGTGCGTCGTGGTATGTGTGTGTTTTCTAAGTTTGATGCTTGCTTCCTCTGCTGCTGCTACTTTTGTTGCACTTATCTTGTTGTCAAAATTCTGATGTATCTTCGAGAAGTGGTTGATATTTTTGCTGCAACTGCTTGCCGTCGGTGCGGGTGCGTTAGAACGACATTTTATTGCGTTCGTTGGTATTTTTCAATAGAAAAATTACAAGTTTTGAGTCGAATTTTTATTAATTCACTTAATTTACGTTTTTCTTCTTCCCTTTTCTTGCTTTCCACGCAAATTCGCTGTCATGTTAATGGCGCTATTCTCTCAAAACCTCACATCTTCACATGTCATCAACACCAGAGTTGTATTCGGAAATGAAAATTCCGATACATTGTCATTTGAATTTAAATCAATAGAATTAATATGTAAAAATATTAAAATTTAAAAAAGTGTATAATAATTGTTTTATAAATAAAAAAGGAAGATGACAAATTTAAAATTGCTTGTCATAAAACAGGTTCCTACATTAAATTTACACAAATAAAAAAATATTGGCGGAATGACAAAGAAAACAAGGGTAGTTCATACCTGACGATTTGTCGTATATTTATTTTCTTTACTATTTCAATAGTATGAAATGTTAATTAAATAAAACTATGATAATATTTTTTGTTGCAAAGTACGTTATTTGAGTTACATGTTTGGATCAAAGCTGTTCAAGGTTAAACATATTGGTCTGTTCCCGTACTGCAAGAATCTACTGGGTTTTAATCGTACTAAAGTTAGCAGCTATTGCAGTAATGTTCAAAATATAAGAGGTAAGTTATCGTGCTAAAGATAGCAGCGTTTTACAGTAATGTTCAAAATGATTGGACAAGAACCCAACATCAAATGAATGCTAAATCCGAATGTTTGGTTAGAGATCCAGTACTGCCTAAAAAGATTGAAAGTGCTACAAAATAATAAAAAATAACCCACGAGCAATATATATATATATATATATATATATCAGCTCAGGGCATAGTTATACAAGGTAGTCTCATGCAGTCATTCATAAACAGTATTCAGCTTTCAAATTTTTAATGAAAATATCTTCCTTTGAAATGTACGCATATCATGTGTTCAGTGGCAAAAATTTCTAAATAATTTATTGCTGTGTTCCCAAACCTGCAATATAGTTCTATATTGTACTAGTTTTTCAATTGTTGCTAGAAAAGCGTTTCCTTACGCCGAAAAGTAGGAAAATTGAAGTTAAATTTAAGAGAGTTAAAACCAAAATGGCGTTCTCTTCTCCTTTTTTCTGCAAGACCAATTTGGCCTAGCACGAAAATGTAGTAAATTATGAATTTGACATTTGATTGCCAGAGATATACAGTCCGAAATAAAGCATATGAAAGTTAGGGCTTCAACAAAAGGGACACACGCACAGACGCACACACATTTGCTTAAAAAAGAACAAATAAGAAATTTAAAAATGGACAGTTTTTTTTCTCTTTTGAATGAAGATGAATGGCTGGCAGAAGATTCAGATGAAGATACTATGGAATGAAGACTTGGATTGGTCAATCGTACCAAAATATCCAAAATATTTTGGGCTTAAGACAAGTTTAGGGGCTCCACTTGGATCGCTTTGACATTTTTACAGTAAGTAGTCCTCGGTGAACTGATTACAGTGATATGGGGAGAAATGCATACTTCCCGAGATATGGGCCTTGAAAGTTCGGAGAGTATGTTGTTTTAATTAGCCGTATCATTTTAAAGGTTATGGTTTGTGTTATATAACTAGATGAAGAATATATTGCGTAGCCATGTATGAGTCTGTCCATATGTGAAAGTCTTATTCTTAAGTTCTCTTAAAAATACCCGGTATAACCTTTTAATGATACCCATATTGCCTTGGTGGCAATAGAAAAAGGGTTGTTTTAAACAAAATATGTTCCGAAATTTCAAGGTCAATATCTCGGGAAGTATGCATTTTCCCACATGAAATGTATATCACTGTAATCCGCACAAGGAGGGCTACATACGGTAATCATTTCAAAATGAGCAGAATGGAGCCCCTAAACTTGACTTGTTCCATATCTTGTTGTTCTAGTTCGCAAAATATCTACCAATTTCAATAGCATTAACATTATAGGAGCGTCCAACCATGTAAGCCTTTCCGGGCTCGGAGTCGTTGGAAACTCCATTTTAAATATTCGATAAGGTTTTCCTCTAAATTATACAAATAAAAAAATAAACAATAAATATTTATATTATCAAAATCACGCAATGGACGCCGTTTAACTTTTTGTTTTTTTTTTTGTGCATTAGGTTTCTGTAGTCTTTTTATTGTCCTTAACAAATGAAATTTTTGATTTTGACGTTTCTTCATGTTTTAACTATTTTTCGTTCCTTTACTTTTTGCGCAAATCTTGTATGTGAGAGTAATTTTTGATAGTTCGCTCTTTTACTAGCTTTACTAGCAAAAAGTACGGGAACGAACCTTATATTTATAAATATTTTGAAGTTCGCTGCCTCTAAAACTTATACGGGCATTTTCTGGCATTTACTTCAACGGCAGAAGTGTATCGAACACACGCCGAGGTGTTCTGTAACACACTTTACACCCATTTGAGGTGTATTCTTTACACTTACATTTTCATAGTGAGAGCAGGGCTGCCAGATTTGACGATTTATCGTCATTTTGACGATTTTTTGGTCAAAAATTGAAAAATGACGATTTGACGATTTTTGCCCAAAAAATGACGATTTTTGGTCATTTTAGTAATATTGCAATATTTGGATTCTTTTTGTTATGGCAACATCAAAAATGTATAAAGCGAAAGAAAAAGTAAAAAGAATATTAATATTTGGCATATGTGTTTGAGGTATACTTTGTATTGTTACAAAGCCAACAAAAGTTTACGTTTACCCAGATAGATGAAAAACTACCAATCAGCTGTGCCGTTCTCTGGGTAGACATCAACAAAACAAATAAAAGTTAACGGTTGTTGTTTTTTGACACGGGCAAATAGAAGAAAATTGGTGAACGGAAAAGTTGTTATATTAAATTTAAGTTTCAATTTATACAAAGTTATTACAATTTTAAAAAGATTCGATTTGAAAGCATTTTTAAAATTGATAATTAATGAAAAGAATATGAAAATAATGAAAAGAATAATTAATGTTTCGATATCCTTAAAGAATTTCCACAGTTTGTGAACGAAGATGAAAAACAAAAATTGGATTCAGAATTTCGCGAACTAAGGTTGTTTGATTTGTGAGAATGATGAAACCAATTTATTTCGTTTTTGGAATGCAATATTTGATTTGAAACGTGGTGATGGTTCATATGTTTTTCCTATAATAACTAAATTTGTACGGAAGGTAATGGTATTACCCCATTCTTCAGCAAATGTTGAGCGTGTTTTCAGCTAAGTAAATCTTAATAAAACGAAAAGTCGATATTCCCCCAATAAGGATTCAATGGAGAAATTTATACCAACGATTATTTAAAAGTTAACAGAACAAATTGTTATGATACGTTAATTAAAACCGACATGTTGAAAATGATTAACACAAATATTTCTTTTCAAAATGAATGACTTTATTAAAGTCGAAATGGCTATTCAAATATTTATTTATAAAATAAATGAATTTCTTTATTAGCTTTAAAAAACGTGTTTAATAAATTGAATACCTCTTTTATGTTCCTTTTAATAAAAAAATATATTTAAATATATCTAAATGTGCGTATTTAAATTTTTGATAAAAAAAATCGTAATTTTGACGATTTTCCCAAAAAAAATCTGGCAGCCCTGAGTGAGAGTCGGATGTGTTCATGTTTTTCCATATAAAAAAATCTTTTTTGAAATAAAAAAGGCACATGATTGAAATGTTGTTATTGCGTATAATTAGATTAAAATCACAAAATAAACATGAAACGTCATTAAAAACAAATTTTAAATAGATACTATGGTTTGTCTTGACTTTTGTTCAACTGAATTTCTCGCTGATTTGAAGTAAGGCCGAAGAATGTAGGGTTACCAAATGTTCCCCTTAAATCAATCAACAAATTAATGATATTAAAGAGTTGTTCATACTTATATTTTGTGTTGCGAATAATAAAATATTAACAAATAATAATAAAATTATCGTTAGAATTAACGAAATTACTAAAAAATTACAGAAACAATCTTAAAGACGAATACAGTTTATATTGTATGGCAACACTTTATTATTTTATTTTTGTCGCAGTTCAAAATTTCAATTCACGTGGGAAGCAGAACAGGAGGTAGCTTCTGTGGTGAAGTGTATTTGTGAAGTGAAAAGAACATACTGTGAGTTCCAGAACATACCCGATAAATATATGATGTAACAACCTTACTTAAATCTTGAGAGCAATGTTCAGCTTTAGAAAATATATTTTGTTTAATTTATTGAAAATATGTCAATCGATATACATGAAATTTTATGAAATTTATTTTTTATATTATTTAACATTGATAGATTAGTTCCAAATTAAAAAGGGTTGCTATCATCAATTGCTCAAATGAGGCTACCTTTTTAATTATGCCATGGTTGTGTGCTATAATTTCAAAATTAATAAAAACATTTAGATTTACTACATTTTTTCGATACCATAAAGGAAAATTTGTTATCGAACAGGCGTAATAAGACATTACGTTAGTGTATTGATAATCATAAATAAAAACTTTTATATCTTTAAAATTTTTCATTTAACAATTTGCTTCCTAAATTTTTAATTTTACATTTTCATAGAACAATAAATAAATGAGCTCTAGCATGATTTTTAAAGAAAAACATTCATTTTAATAATTGAAGATTGTGTAAAGTCCGACATTTTCAATAAACATGAGTTTAAATAAAAATAAAGTAACTAATAGCCTAGACAGACGACAGCCTTAATTTGCATTAACAGCCTTAATTCAAATTAACTTGTGCATTATCCTCATTTTTATATGTTGTTAATGCACAAAATCAAACTGAATTTATACTGAATTAAGCAGTTTCAATATGGCAATGCTGTAGAAAATAAATTGATTGTTGTCAAATTTGTTTACGTTTACGAAAATAAAAATTAGAAATAAAGGCAAAATTCTACATTTCTTCAAATTTGGAGCTGTTTTATCATCATTATAGCTGTTAGTTTTTCCTGCCATGTATCAATTTCAAAAAGATGTAATCCTAAAAAATATTGTAAACAAATGTCAATATTTTCTTCCTACACACAGACAAACAATAGTTTTGAAACAAAAAACTGGTTCATAAATGCAGAAACTCTCGTCTGTCAGGGGTAAATTTGAATTCAAATTAAGAACTTTTTAATGCAAATTAAGGCTGTCGTCTGTCTATGGTATAATATTTAAATGTTAAAAATATTTTTTTATTTCTTTCATTCCAATTTGTTACGATACGTTACTTTATACAGTAATTGTTATCGTTGGTATACTACATACAACCCTAAAAACGTAGATTACAACACTGTACGAGACATATACTACTACATCGTGCAACTCTGCATAGCATCCACACCATCCACAATAACTAATGGCGGTTAAATCCTTTTGAAATTTTCACTGCTGTGTTGTATTCCATTAAAGACGGTGTTTGTCGGGAGAGCGTGGCTCGAATTCCTTGGTGAGACAAATGAGTGTGTGAAAGAGATGTGGAAATTAATGAATTTACTGCAATTAAATTAATAAAGAAAAAACGATATATTGTGGCCAAATATAAATGCAAAAGTTTAGTTGTTATTAAAAAAAGTTGCATTCGCGAATTGGAAAAATGGAGGACTTAGTGCAACTGTACGATATAACAGAGTGTGCTACTAGTGAATTGGAACAATTGACAGAGGTATTTGAAAGGTGACGCTTAATTCTTGAAATTTCGAAATAATTTGGTGTATTCTGTTTTGTGTTTTCGGTAAACCAGGAATGGCTAGTAAAATTGCGAGCTATTTTGTTTGGACCATCGGCCATACCGGCAGCAGCCAAAGAAGTTTTGAAAGAAATTCCCGCGGCGTCACCCCAACAGACAAAGAAGCGTGTAAAGCGCCTCTCTTCACTCAATGAGGAGGAATGTGAAGGTAAGCCGAAAGGATAATTGTGCAATTATGAACATCAAAATTAAACAAACACGATTTTTTATTTAGATATCGATCACTTAAGTGACAAAAATAAGAACAAGGGAGGGAAACTATCCAAAGGTCATGTTTCACCACGTAAAAGCAAACGCTCAAATGCTGAGCTTTTGGCTGTTGCCGAAACAATGGAGCAGCCTAATCTGCCGGTAGAAAATGAAGCACCAATACCACGAAAGAGGACAACCGAAGTGGAGGCAGCGTCAAAAGCAAATAGTGAAGCAGCACCAGCCGCTGAGCGTAGATCAGAAGCGTCCAATTTAATGCCACCACCACCAGCTCCTGTCTTAGCTGCCCCGCCCGTTGAAGAAGGTAGGCGCCCCAAACGGGAAGCCAGAATTAAATGTGAAAAGAATCTGAAAGAGCCAACATTGAAGACTAAAATGAGGCAGCCAGAAGAAGTTAAAGTCAAGCTTGAACATGAACAAAGACCCTCGCAAATGCATGAGAAATCTCAAGCAAAACCTAAACATGCGGTACAACAAGTAGATAGTTCTCCTGAAGAGTTAGTAGGTAGTGTGAGATCAACTGACTCCATATTGATTTTACCACCACAGAAACCAGATTGCATTGTTATCAATGGAAATTCAGATGACGAAGGTGCAGCTGCTTCAGAAGCGACAGTAGATACAACAGAAACTGTAATTACAAATGAAGTAGCAAACGATGAGCCACGTGAGTATATTATATACGTCTTTGTTGATCAATGTTAGACAAAAAATATGTTGTGAAATAGGGAATATAGAGTGGGCTTGTTGGTTGAGGGATGAAATTTGTATAAATGGCAGGACTTTGAAAATTCTACATGATCGTATGTTGTTCGTATTTCTATGAAAGAGAACTTAAGAGATATATTTTTATAAGTATTGATGGCAATTCTTTCTTTAACCATGTTAACCCCAATTAAAATATTGCCTTAATTTCATAATAAAAAGAGTCGGGCCAGAATGATTTAGGATAATATCTCAGAATGTAATGGCTTCTCATTTGTGATAACTGGGATTTCTAATACGTTGCCGTGTTTGTGACGGTCTTTAAACCTTGCAGCAGGTCTTTTCTCGTACTAAAATTGTGTATATGTCCGTGGAAGTAAAAGGGGTAAATATCAAACATCTTAATTGTAATTCTATGAAACCCTTAAATTTCGGCGGATTAATTTCCTCCAAACTCAATGTCACCTTTTTTAAAATTGGCTTTTGGTGGGGATTAAGGCCATATAATAGAACGGTTTCTTTTACATGTGTAACACACTCGTGAACTGTGGATTATGCCACAAAAATGTATTACCTGTGGTAAAAATATTTTGATACGTATTTTTAAATTCATATTAATCGATTCTGACACTGTCTAAAATTATAGGGAAAAAAACTGTCTTAAATAAATGTGATTCAAAATTAGAAATAAAAATATTTGGGAATAAGGACTTTTTTTTAAAAGAAGCGAAACAGATGGAAACATGTTTTGCACAATCCTAGGTATTTTGACATTATTTCAATTTGAATTGCTACTGCTCTGTATCTTATACAGACAACATATAGGAGAACATAGCCCGCTTTTTTCCTTTTGTAGTAATTTTATATAAATAATCTATGTATATATAGTATAAATTACATAATTCAATTTTTAATTCTTTTATATATCTACATACGAATAGGCATGTCATCCGGATCAACAGATGGTGGAACTCGTGCTCTACGTATTAAAATCAAACGAGAAAAAGTTAGTCTACCATCACAAGAAGATAACGTTGATGCTGCGTCGGACGACACGTTGTTCAAAGCTCCAATTTCTGTACCACAGCCATTACCAGCAGCATCTAAATGCGAAACAACCACCCTGGAGGAGTCGTCAATGGTCAGTAACAGTGTATTATCTTCCACGACTTCATCGACGGCAGGCAAGAAAACGCGCAAGAAGAAGGAAGCTCCACGTCCCATCAAAGTTGAACGTTTCAGTGATTTGGATCGAAAACCATCGCCGGTATCGTCACGTACACGCCAAGGAAGTACTGGAATACGATTGTCTCAAACTGACAATGACAACGAACAGGAACAAGAACAGCAAGCGGCCGAAACAACAAAACGCGGCGCATCTATTTATGAAGATGCTGTCGAAGCACCACCAATCAACAATTCCAAATTGGGTGGTACTGTTAATGAGACAGTTAATTTAGGTCCCTCTCCAGCACCTGCGGATGCCACTATGAATTTAGGACCTGTACCAAATGATGCTACATTCTGTACCAATCCGGCTCAGACAACGTTCCAAGTTACGCCAGGACAAACCACATTTGTCGTTGAAGGAGGAAACCCCAATGCTACTGTAACACTGAATAAAAATTCGGGTGCGGATGCAACCTTCGACGTTCGGACGTCAACCAAAGCAGATAAAAACGACGATGATGGTGCTGGTCAAAGGTCATTTGAGACAGCAAAAGATTCATCACTGCCACATGACGAAAGTCTGCTCACTGAAGATGAGTCAGTCGAGAAAGAACCTGAACCCGCTCCAGTGCCCGTCGCAAAGGCCAAACCATCAACAAAAGCATCAAAGACATCGGCTTCTGCCAAATCTGCTGCTTATAAAATGCCTACACGTACCAATGAGTTGTTCAAGTAAGTTCTAAAGATAATTATCATTAAATATAAAATAATGAATTTTTTCACAATAAACAGTCCCTTGGCTCAAAGTCCTGTGAAAATGCGCGTAGAAGCTTTTGAAAATGCTGCAGCTGCGGCATCTGAACAATCTAAACGGCCACAACGCATCAAAAAGGAAAATGTTACACCGGTAAGGATGACTTATAATTCATATTTGAATTTTTTTATGCAAAGCATTTCTTTCTCAATGTGCTCAGAATGGAGCAACCACTCCAGTTATTGGAAAATTGCCAGCTCCTGCTCTTGGTCGATTCCTTACGCCTACACAGAGCTCTAATGTTACAACAACTGGCAGTGCCGTAGCGAAAAAAGTCCCAACAAGTGCTTCAAAGGCATTGCAAAAATCTACAAGTGGAATGCTACAACGAAGTGCGTCCACTGCATCCAATACGAAGACATTGCAACGTGAAAACAGCGGTGACGACTTCCGCAAAGGACTACATAATTTAGCTGAGGAACGTAAGAAACAACGAGAACAAAAGCACTTGCTGGCTGCCCAGCAACGTGAAGCTAAGGAGCGTGAGCGTGCCGAACGCATGGCTAAGTTGGCCAAGGAACGAGAGGAGAAACGTTTACAGAAACTGCAAGAACAAGAACAGAAACGACGTGAACTAGAAGAAATACAGCGTAAATTGCGCTTGCAGGAGGAGGAAGCAGCCAGAGCTAAGGCTGCCAAGGAGCGTGAGATGTTATTGCAAATGAAGCAGCAACAAATGAACGCCAAACAGCGAATGATGCCACCACCGCCAAAGGCATCTTCGAAGTACACCTTCGAAATGCTACACGAAGATGACTCTACCGACGATGAGGATAAAGTTTCATATAAACGTCCTCCACCACCCTCATGGAGTCGATGTAAGTATATCATTTATATTAACTTCGATGAAGTATTCATATGCACATTTTTATTTTTTTTGCAGCTCACAAACGTGAACCTTATGTTTTGAAACAAGAATATACCCCCTCCGGTTACATTGACAGCTTCTTCTCGGTTCAACCAATGACACCAGATCTAAAACAGATTTTCCCCAACATAGATGCCCGCCATTTGAAACGCAATTCCAGTGTATTGTGGTCAACACCACCTCGATATTCGGAATTGCCAAAGTATTAAAAATATCGAAATTGCGAGCAAAGCATACTGTGTTTTTGCAATCGTTTCGCATTTTTCATAAGAAATTGTCTTTATTTATTTGTAAACCGTATTGGTATTAATTACACCTTTGTAACTCTGTTTCTATTTGCCGTTTAAAGAAAAGAAAATTCAGATTTCGCTTTGAAATTTTATTTTATGTTTTGTTATAAGTAGTTAATCGAATTCAAAACGAATGGTCGATTTTTTATTTGTACACCATATATTGTTTTCAAATTATAAATACGAAATTATTTTTTATTTAAATAAAATATCTAAATTTATCAAAAAATAGTACATTGCGTTTGGAATTTTACACATATGAACGAAACTACATACATCCGAGGCAGTAACGTTTTGGTTTTAAATCAGGGTTAGCCAACAATACATATGCAAACTGCTATGATTGTGTTGGACACACGCATAGATCCGTTGGGAGAGTAATTTTCGCTCTATCGGTACAGATCGTCTATGTTAAAGCATTGCAAAGCATACGACATGTTCGATGTCGAGAATAATGTTGAGTTCGAACACAGAACTGTGATTGTATTGGTACTCTCCCAACGCGACCACGGGCGCCTGTTTGGTGAACAGTGTTTTAAATTAACAGTAGTAAGACATTTTGAAAATACCTTACCACAGTCCTCGACCCCAAACTAAAGTGGCCCACACGCGTCAAGCATGTGCATTCGATCGGTATGAATCTAAGCAATGTTTGACGTGTGTGGTACGGTGTTCACACCGATTTGGCGGTGCGCACACCTATCGAAAGAAATTAAAAAATTTTAATTTTTCGTTGTGCGACGCGCACATGTTTGACGTCTGTGGCCTGGTGTGTGGATATTTTCTCATTTTTTGAGAAATTTCGTGGAGTACGGATCAGCGTACAAATGCAATACATATGTATTTGGAAGATTTTTTGATGTTTTTACACATATTCTACTGTGTGGCAAATAAAAATGTTTTTTCCCGGAATAAAATAAAAGTATTTAATACATTTATATTAAATAAAAATATTTCGTCTTTTTTCCGTCATCACTATCGCGGTCCATCTTCACGCTTCAAAAATAAATATGAAATTAAGTTTAATGGATCCGTTTGACGTGTGTGGGCTAGGAGCTTCACACCGATCGAACGCACATGTTTGAGGTGTGTGGCCCACTTAACGTGGAAAAGGAATATTGAGGAACGCACTGAAATTCAAGGCTTAAAAATAATCAGCCTTATTCTAGATATTCGTTGGGAGATATCTCACATGTAAAAAAATACAACAACCACAAGGAAACGATAACACAAACGCTCGAAGTTGATGTGCGCTTGCTCAACGCAAGCATTCTGCTTAGCCCTTTTAGTTCATTAATAGAACAAACTGGAATAATCGTTCCTTTTAGTTAAAATGTGAGTGTTTTACTGACCTAATTCGATTTTTTTCTAAATGGAAGCGGCACCGATCGAGTTTTATTTTGCATGTGATATTTACAGCGATTTCATTTAGTAAACATATAAAATATGTTGCCTATTATTTATGCTCGCATGAAAATTTTCAATAATTCTGAAACTTTTCTTTAAAAATCCACACCTTATAGATCCCCATAAACTGTTTTTAAAATTTTGGAACAACTCTAGTTTAGTAAAAACGATCAAATTTTTCTGAAATTTTTTCCAGAGGTAGGTATTTTTACCCTAATTATGGGGATATCTTTTTTTCTTGGGGGACGTACCCGGTTACCCGGTTATTTGACCCGGAAGTTCGGGTACGGGTACCCGGTTATATCCGGTTCTACGGATCCGGTTAATATAATATGGGTATCATTTTAAAGGTTATAAAAATACCTTTCCATTGAGTGGTAATATGATGGGGTTATCTCAAAAAACTGGGTTTTGGTCCCCGATTTTTTTGAAAAACTCCCTAAAAGTCGAACTTGGGTCCATTATAGTCCCTCTCCAAACAGGAGGCCCATATCAAAAGATATGGGCCTTAGAACCCTATAAAAACAAGGAAAATCTTTCTACATGACAGAATCTCCTTTTAAATAGCATGGTGTTTTTTGGGTGACCGGCCTTCGGCCGGGGATTTAAGACTTTCTCCTATGGACAGATACCAACACCGGGTACGCGAAAGAAATTCCTTCTAAATAGAATGTTTTTTGTGTAGCCGGCCTTCGGCCGAAAATTTAAGACTTTCTCCTATGGACAGATGCCAACACCGGCTACGCGACAGTATCTCTTGTTAAATAGAATATTTTTTTTGGGTGACCGGCCTTCGGCCGGGCATTTAAGACTTTCTCCTATGGACAGATGCCAACACCGGCTAACGCGGCAGAAACTCCTTCTAAATAGAATATTTTTTTGTGTAGCCGGCCTTCGGCCGGGTATTTAAGTCTTTCTCCAATGGACAGATACCAACACCGGCTACGCGACAGAATTTCTTGTTAAATGGAATACTTTTTTGGGTGACCGGCCTTCGGCCGGGGATTTAAGACTTTCTCCTATGGACAGATGCCAACACCGGCTAACGCGGCAGAAAATCCTTCTAAATAGAATATTTTTTGTGTAGCCGGCCTTCGGCCGGGGATTTAAAACCACTCATCATATTACCACTCAATGGAAAGGTATTTTTATAACCTTTAAAATGATACCCATATTATATTAACCGGATCCGTAGAACCGGATATAACCGGGTACCCGTACCCGAACTTCCGGGTCAAATAACCGGGTAACCGGGTACGTCCCCCAAGAAAAAAAGATATCCCCATAATTAGGGTAAAAATACCTACCTCTGGAAAAATTTTCAGAAAAATCTGATCGTTTTTACTAAACTAGAGTTAAGCCAAAATTTTTCTATATAATATCCTCACCATAAATAAAATTTTAAAATTGTTTTTATTCACAGATCACAATCTTCCAAGAACACAACCTATCAACTGAACGATTCCGAGAGCCATAAACTATTAAAAGAACGACCGAAGTAAAACGACAGCTGAATGAAAGAGCTTAATTGTGAACGATTGAACTACTGAACTAGAAGACCGAACTAGTTCAGTCAAAAGAGCTGAACTGAAAGGAGCGATCAGCTAACTGAACTAGATAGAAAAACTCTACAAAAAATGCGAGATGCGGATTCGAGTTTTCGAAAATTGTGGTTGAAAAAAAGATTTGTGTTGCCATATTATAATTTAAGTTGTAATGTGTGTTGCCATATTGTAATTTTAATTGCAATGCGTGTTGCCCCATTGTAATTAATTTGTGTAATATTTGTCAATATTTTATTTATTGATTTTTTTTTATTAAAAATGTTTACTTTTTATTGTTATTTAAAGTTTATAACAATTCAAATGTGAAATATAAATAATCCGCTGTATAAATGCTTTATAATTGAAGAGAAATAAATTAAAGTTTAAAAATATGGCAACCTACAATATGGCATGTGAAACAGCTGTTCATTGTTTTGATGCAATTTGGTGCAACAACTACAATAGATTACAAATAAAAGAACATTTTTTTATGATGGCAAAAACACAACGAACAATGAGAAGAAATCTGCGATTGAATTAATTAATTCATAATTTATTATTTCACTACTTAATTGTGTGCCTTTTTTTATTTTCGATATTTTATCTCCCCAAATTCTTAAAGTGACCAGTTATGTTATGATTTGCTCCTACTCCTCTATTTCTTCCTTCAAATTATGCACACGATAATTTTGAAAAAGTTTTTCACTGTTAAGCCGCTCAACAGGCAAAATTTGTTTTCCATAATTTTTAAATTTTTTTTCTTGAGAGACAGATTCTCACCCAAAATGTCTGCATTTCGCCTCCAAAATGCATCAAACTCGACTTAAATATTCCTTATTACCTTTATACATTCCTTGGCAATATTTGGTTCAGCATGCATCGTTATCAATATGATTTCCAATGGCATTTGTTATGTCGTTTTCCAGTTAAAAATTTGCTTACTATCATTTATAATATTCTATATCGTGATAAAATAAGTATTGTGTAAATATTTTTCATAAAAATATTTATTACTTATGTTTTTGTAGTCAGCTCCCTTTGAATTTGTTAGCGAAAAATTTCGCACAAAATTTCATCTCATTCTCCTACTCCCTGTAATCCAGAATACCTAATTTTTTCCCAAGCTTTCGAACTTCATTCAGAATAAGGCGAAAGCGAGAATGCGAAAAAATTCACAGGAAAATGTTGTTCACGTGGAATTGACATCCAGAATAAGGCTGATATTTTCTGAATTGAATTATTTTTTTCTGAAAAGACACTACAAACAAAATACACAAAAATTGTCGGTACGAGCAATTTTTTTCATTTCTATTCCCCTTGCCCCTCTCTCCTACAAACAAAGACTTGCCGCAAGTAAACTCGGCTAATCTAATTTGGGACTAACTTATTATTGAGTATTTTTATTTTTTCTGTGTTACTGATTTTGGTTTTTGTTCTTGATTGTTGAATTTATCAGATAATATCCACGGTTTCAATCTGTCAATAGAAACAATTTTCTCTTAAATATGAAAAGTGAGGGCTTTTTTGTTTTACATTTACATTGAAAATTACACTGTTTATTTAAAAACTCCACGCCTTCTATGCGAATGAAAAAAGGTATTTTAAAATCCATGCCTTATCGTATTGAAAAAATTTATTTAAGAAATCCTTTGATGGTATTAAACAAGTTATTAAAAATCTATAACCAATGAGGGTATCGAAAAAAATACAAAAAATCCACGGCTTATAAAGATATCGAAAATAAAATATTTAAAAAATCCAAGCCGTATAAAGATATCAAAAAAAAAAAAAATAATAATAATAATAATTTAAACCAGTAAGGAAAGTAGTAAAGTCGGACGGGGCCGAATATATGATACCCTTCACCACTTTGGGTATATTCAACAGATGAATCCTAACAGACGACGTAAAACGAAATTGGATCAATAAACATGTATTCTGAAACCGATACTAAATTTTTCATTTGGTCAAATA